ATAATGTATTTATTTATTTATGTATAAATGTCCTTTAATTACTGATCTCAAAATTTACTTCCTCGGTATTTATCATTGGTATTCGTGGAGGTTAATATTACAGGAATTATTTTAATCGGTTAAACAATCATCATAAATTAAATAACAAATTTGCATTGAAATTTGTTTTATGCTTTCATAACATACATTTCATAATTATAATTAAATTAAATTTGCATTATTTTGATTGTATACCGTGATTATAATCGAAAATGATTATAATCGAATATTATTATAATCGTTGGTACTAATAATTACTGTTAACTCTTTTTTTTTAATTTTAATTCGATAAAAAAATATTAAATTTTAGGTGATGGTACGGAATTGGTACGTCATTTTCTGATTGAACCATCATCAAAAGGTGTTAAATTAAAGGGTTGTAATAATGAACCAGTATTTGGTACCCTATCTGCACTTGTATATCAACACTCAATTATACCACTTGCGCTACCTACCAAATTATTGCTACCGGAATACGATCCGGCTAATACACCGGAACATATCTCTGCTGCACAACAACTTCTACAACAGGGAGCTGGTTAGTTATTTCAAATTATTTAGTTTTATTTTTTTTTTTTGTTTAATTAGCATCTTTTTGCATCGCTCATATTGGACGAAGTAAAATTAAAAAAAAAAACAAACAAAACGCATGTAAATTTTAATTTTATTCACTTTTTTCAAATCTTATTCATATAGCTGAGACAAATTGCTAATGAATATGCAAATAAATTCATTCGTTTTGCTATAAACAGATTTCATAAAATTATTATAAATTATTAATGATAAAAAAGTTTGTTTTTCGTCAGTGATAAATAATTGATTAATTAAAGCTTAATGAAATCAAAATTGGTCTTTTAATGTTTCGTTTTTCTTTTTTCATCATTTTTTTGGTGCCTATTAATAAAGTGAAAAAAAAATTTTCCTCTAAAAAATTCAAAGTCTTTTTTTTAATTAAAAAATTTTGTAGCATGCAATGTAACGTACATCGTTTCATTGGATACGGAATCTTTAACCGGACCCGAAGCTGCTCGACGATGTATCGATCAAACTTTTGAACTTCTCAAGCAAAAAATGATACAACCTGTTTCAGTACATTTTAAGGTACTGTATGAATTTAATTTGTAAAATTTAACAATTGTAATAAATTTTTATAACAATTTTCCAGTTACGATTAATTCATCATTCGTAAGTTTAAAGTATATCGGTAATATCTGTAAAGTAATTAACATTTATTCATTCATCAATTAAAATAATTCATGTAATATAAGCAAAATTTTGACATTTAAAAAGTTACGCTTTAGTTTAAATTTTAAGCTTTAACATTTTATAAAGTTAATCTATTCAAAAGAACAATTACATCTGCTTGTTTGTTTATTTTTCATATATTTCCTAGAACAAAAACTATTGCCGCTCATTTTGTTTCGATATATTGAGAAAGGCCTAGAAAAGTTTGAACAAAAAAATTAAACAATTAGAATTACAGCAATAAAAGTGTACAAAATGCTGAACGTGCAAAAATTTTGCTAAATAACTTTTTACGTGCGATTGCAAATAATTGCTTTATGCTAAATAAAATTATGTAATTTTTTTTACGAAGGAAAATATTGTGTGAATTAATTTTCTGATTAATCGAAATATTCATACCAAAGTAGAAATTGAAATGATCGATGTTTATTTCATTTATAAATATCGTTGAGTTCATCGGAATAGTTCATGGCCATTTAATCGGTTACTATCTTCAACATGGTTTAATTTGTCATTTTCACTTAGTATTAATTGAATTTGTCATATTGATTACTACAATACTAATCATTCAATTAGAAGGATGAAATTTTTGATATACGATTAAAAATCATTAAAATATAAACAACTATTAACAGATTTTGCTAATTTTCAAATTTAATTTTGTCGAAACTGAAGAATTTATACTAATAAATTAAACTGTATCTGTTACAGGTATCATCTCAAGGTGTTACAATAACGGATAATACAAGGCGGCTTTTCTTTAGGCGACATTATCCTGTGCAATCCGTTACATACGCTGGTTTAGATCCTTCCGATCGAAGGTATAAAATTTAAATTTAATAACGTGAACTTCACTTTATGTTAGTTAATGAAGAAAGTTACTTTTCAAAAATCAATTAATTATTGTGCTAATTTTTATTTGCATATAATGCATCCATTAAATTGCCTTATAAATGATTTCTCTAAAAATATCAAAAATTAATATTACAAACCTTTACAATTGAAATTTACAAATACAGTTTTTGAAATTTTACTATTTAATTTACTTTCATCTGCTAGCAAAATGTATTCATTTAAATGTTAAATTTTTGAACATTTTATATGTGTCCATAATTTGGCATTTAAAAATAATACATATTGTTTAGAAAAAAAAAATGAATTATTTCTCATTTCTGTCAAATTGTTTAATTTTTTAAATTGCATAATTATTTCAGTGACTAATTTTACAGGTGGGATAATTCGTACCTGGAAGGTAGCATGACAAAATATGTGAAGAATGCTCGAATGTTTGCTTTTGTGGCACGTAAGATAGGTTCGAGAACGGATAATACGTGCCATATTTTTGCGGAATTAGAACCAGAACAACCAGCTATAGCTGTTGTAAACTTTATCACTAAAGTTATGATGGGACGCAGATGAAAATTTCAAATTTCCTTCCCTTCCTTTTTTATAATTAACTTTTTTTTCTTTTTATTTATTTCTTTTTTTTTGCATTATTTGTATGTCATAAATCTGTATGAATTTTCATTTTTATCATTTATGAATTTAAATTTTTTTTAAGCCAAAAAATTTCACAAAAAAACAGCAAATTAAATTTTTGGAAAAAAAGAAGGAGGATGGAAAATTTTTGAAATTTATTTTTGAAGCAGAGAGCAATCTGATTTTCGTGGGCTCATCTTAAAAATTAGATGCATTCCATCATTTCTTGTATATGAAAAGCATAGATTTCATTTTATTTTTTTTTTCCTTCTCCTCCTCCTCTTCCTCCTCTAGTCTCTATTGCTATTTTTAGATTTTCATTACTAGAATTTACTAAATCTGTTCAATTTTTCACGATGCATAATTAATTTTACTGTACATATGAACACAAGAAATTGCTTAAAAATTGGATTGTTTTGAAGTGTGAAAATTGAATAGATAATTGTAGCAAATTCTAATTTAGATAATAATAATAGTAATCAATAATAATA